ATGAGGTGGATTGATTCAGTGGCTGGGGTAATCAGGATGGGTGTGTCAGAGGCAATGAGATTGGCACAGGATAGAGCAGGGTTTAGGATTGTTGTACATAGGGTCGCTATGAGTGGCAAACGACTCGATGGCACATAACAACAACAACAACATGTAATTATCTTAGGTGACCTGTCTAAATTATCATTTCCACAGTGAAGATAATCCAGTTGATGATTGGGATTACAATCTGGATTGTTATTCCAATGATGTTCCATCATTTGGGGCAAATTTTTAAATATATTTTTTTTATTTGTGTCATCATTGAGAATATATATCACAGAATATACACCAATTCCACAGTTTCTTTATGTACAGATCATTGATAATAATTTATACTCCGAGTGTTATACCTGTTCTCCCTCTTTCTTTCTGAGTTGGTCCTTTTCTGTTAACTTAATCCCTGTAATTTTGCTTTCTAATCTTTCTAATTACTTTTCTCAGTTTGAGTTTATACAGATAGACCTAAAAAAAAATCTAAAGCTCAAGGCAGACATCTTAACCAATGCAGTTAATTATTGTTTCACTGTAAGAAGAATTCAGGATATATTTTTTAATTAAGGATTGGATATTAAAGGCAGTTGAATATACCTGGGTTGCTAAAGGAACAGACAAATCTGTCTTGGGTGAAGTGTATCCAAAGTGCTCCTTAGAGGCAAAGATGTTGAGACTACATCTCACGCACTTTAGGCATGTTATCAAGGGGTACCAGACCTTGGGAAAAGGACGTCATGCTTGGAGAAGTGGAGCCTCATTGAAGCGGAGGAAGAACTTCAATGAGATGGATTGACATAGTGACTTAGCACTTCAGACGTTCTGACGACGGCTTCAGATTGGGAAAGGTTTCTCTCTGTTTTGCATGGGGTTGTTATGAGTCACAGTTGAATCTCTGACTCTTGACGACAACAACAGTAATTTTGAAAATTGCAGTTTGGTCTAGGGAAGCATCCTTGGCTAAATTAATGCAATGAAATAGTACAAGTGCTTTGATATAATCATATAGTAAGAGCCACAAAGAATGGTTGTTTTTAATCTGGAAAATTCAGAAAAGATTTATAAAGAAAGTGAACTTCAGTATTAGTTTTGAACTCTGAAAATAATTGTTCTGGGTAGCAGTAAGGGAAAAAGTTACTTAGTTCATTTTGTATTTATTGCATTTTGATACATACCAGACATAGTACTAGTTCTTTCCACTTGAGATTGAAATCTTTGAGCAGCAGGCTTAGATTGGAGCCTGAGAAACTGGAGGGAGGAGAGAAATGAATGAAACAAAGGGAGACTTTCACATTGTGGAACTTTAGTAGATTTTATAATGGTCTTATTAAGAGAAGTTTTTCTACCTGGTTGCATTATAAACCATATAGAAATTAGATGTTAACAAGCAGAGATAATTAATACTCTATTCTTTGAGACATTCAAGTAAGAGGGAAAAAGATCCTGTCTTTTTTTTCCTTCAAAACACAACCACATTGAATGCCATCCAAATTATGTGTCATCTGTCAAAAATTGTATTTCCTTTTGTTCCCATATTCATTTTTTTTCTTATTAGCGGTGATTTTGACTTCTCTGCTTTGTGGCTTTCCTTTTAGGTGTACTGTTCTGTGTAGGAGGTCGAGGTGGATCTGGTGACCCCTTTCGCAGTATTGAATGCTATTCTATCAACAAGAATAGTTGGTTCTTTGGACCAGAAATGAATAGTCGAAGGCGTCATGTCGGTGTCATTTCTGTTGAAGGTAATGCTTTGACTTGAATCCCATCACCAGCATTTCCAATATATTTGAGCATTGAGAATTTCTTTACATAAGAAAATTGCTAAATTATAAGTTATTTTGTAGCCTGTGAGATATTTGTATAATCATTATTGTTCATTGGCTAAGTTGTTGCATACAGGTGCATAAAGTAGAGATGAGTAAGGAAAAGCAAAACTATTCTGAGCTTTATTTACCAAAAAGAATTGGACTAAAGAAAGCTATCCATATGCCAGAGTTATAAATACAGACCAGATTTTTTTCTAGATTCATCTTATTATTACTATTAAAATTGGATCTTTTTTTATGTATTACTGAAAACAGTTTCTTTCTAGAACCATAGATCAATCCTTAAATTATCTTATAAACTATATCTGTATAATTTTTCTGATTATACAAACATAAGTGCTTATTTGGGAAAATACAAGAACATGTTTTAATAAAACAATAAAATGTATCCTCTGTAACCTAACCATGCAGAACTAATCATGGTTAATACTTCAATATATAATCTTTCTAGTTTTTTCTGTATTTTTGGTTTATTTCTAGAACATTTGATCATATTAGCAGTTTTATGTTGTTGTTGTTATGTGCCATTAAGTCGCCTGTGACTGATAGGAACCCTGTTTACAACAGCTCTGAACCCAGTCCTGTCCTGAGCCAGCCTCACTGCCTCTGACACACCTACCCCCATCACTCTACCCCCATTATTGTATCAATCCATCTCATCAGGGAGTCTTCCTCTCCTGCACTGTCCTCCATCCTTCCAAACATGATGTCCTTCTCCAAGGACTGGTTGCTTCTGGCCATGTGCCCAAAATATGTGAGATGGAGCTTCAGAATCCTTGCTTTCAAGTAGCAACTTGGTTTCACTGTCTCCAAGATAAACCTGTTTGTTCTCTTGGAGGTCCACAGTATGGTCAATACTCTTCTCCACCACCGTGACTCAAAGGCATCAATTTTTCTTCTGTCCTTCTTAGTCGTTGTCCAGGTCTCTGGTGCATAGCAAGTAATTGTGAAGACCATGGCCTGGATCAGGTGTACCATAGTCCTCAGGCTGATATTACTCTTTAGGACTTTGGAGAGGTCCCTGACAGCATACTTTCCCAATGCATTTTGCCTTTTGATTTCCTGACTGCTGGTGCCAAGAATGTTGATTGTGGACCCAAGCAAGTGGAAATTGTTAACAATCTTAGTCTCTTCTCAGTCCATCACAGTGCTGCCAATTGGCCCAGTGGTGGGAATTTTCTTATTGAGTGAGTTTCAATCCATATTGAATACTACAGTCTTTGACATTCTGCAGCAAACACTTCAAAACACTCCTTAGTTTTGGTAAGCAAGGTTGTGTCACCAGCATATCACAGATTATTGATGAATCCTGCTCCAATCCTGATGCCACATTCCTCCTCATAAAGCCCAGCCTCCTAAATAATCAGTTCTGCATACAGATTGAAAAGGTATGAAGACAGGATGCACTCCTTTCCTGATTTTGAACCGTGCCGTGTTACCTTTCTCTGTTCTGATGACTGACTCCCGGTCCAAGTGTAGGTTTTACATGAGCACAATCAAGTGTTCTGGGATTCCCATTCTTCTCAAAGTCACCCACAATTTGTTGTGATCCACATAGTCAATGCTTTTGCATAGTCAGTGAAACACAGATCAACATTCCTCTGGTTTTCTTTACTTTCAGCCAAAATCCAGTTGACATAATGTCTTTTGTGTTATGGCTTCTTCTAAACCCAGCTTGTATTTTGGGTAGTTCTCTGTCAATGTACTGTTCTAGTCGTTTTTTTATAATCTTCAGCAGGATTTTGCTTGCCTGTGATATTGTTCGATAATTTCCATGCTTGGTAACATCACCTTTTTGTTAGAATGGGAATAAATATGGATCCCTTCCAGTCAATTGGCCAGGTAATTGTCCTCCAGATTTCTTGGCACAACCTGATGAGCATGTTTAGGGCAACCTCTGTTGAAATATATCACTTAATATCTCATCAATTCCCGGGGCCTTGTATTTTCTTATTCTTTTAGAGCAGCTTAAACTTCCTCTTTCATCACCATTGCCCTTGATCATTTATTGTTTCATGAAATTCTTCTGTGTCAGCCAATTCTTTTTGGTATAGTAACTGTTTATTCCTATCTTCTTTAATGTTTCCTGAATCATTCAATATTCTGCCCAGGTTGTTGTTGTATGCCATCGAGTCACTTGCAACTTAGAGGGTCCCTATGTACAACAGTCCTGAAACCTGCTCTGTCCTGTGCCAAATTTACTGTCTCTGACAGGCCTACTACCCTCTTTACCCCAATCACTGAATCAATCCGTCTCATTGCTGGTCTTCCTCTCTTTCTCTGTCCCTTCAGCTTTCCAAGCATGATATCCCTCTCCAAGGACTGGTCCCTCCTTGCAGCATGTCCAAAGTATTTCAAACAAAGCCTCAGAATCCTTACCTCCAAGGAGCAACCTGGTTTCACCCTCTCTAGGACGAACCTGCTTGTTGTCCTGGCAGTCCATGGTGTATTCAACACTCTTCTCCAGTTAAAGCTCTTAACAGTCTGAATTTCTTCACAATCTATCATAATACTGCCAGTTGGCCCAGTGGTGACAATGTTTGTTTTCTTGATGTTGAGCTTCAATCCATCCTTAAGTATTGCAGCTTGGGGCTTGAATTTGTTCTTTAATTTTGTCAGCTTAAGAAATGCCAAAGGAGTTCAACCCTTTTGATTTTCCAGTTCCAGCTCTGTGCACATTTCATGTAATACTTTGCTTTGGCTTCTCTATGCTCTAGTGCAAAATTTAGAGTCTGTTCTGACATTCATCTTGGTCTTTTCTTCCTCTGCCTGTGTAATGACGTTTTGCATTCTTTATGTGTGATATTTTTTTTTATATTCTCCTTCAGCTTATCAGGCCTTCTCCATTCATTAGTGTTCAAGACCTCAAACCTGTTCCTGAGATGGCTTTTAAATTCAGGTGGCATGGAATCAAGGTCAGATATTGGTGCCTTTGGATTTGATTTGATCTTCTTTAGTTTTAGTTTGAACCTGATGGTCTGTTCCAGCACCTTGCCTAGTTTTCACAGCTGATATTGAGGTTCTTCCAATGATTCTTTCCACAGATGTAATCGATCTGATTCCTGTGCATTTCATCAGGTGAAATCTATGTGTATAGCTGCTGTTTATGATTCTTACAAAAGATATTTTTAATAAATAAATCATTGTGTAAAAGTCTGTCATTCTATCTCCAGCATCCTTTTTATCACCAAGTCCATGCTTTCCTTCTTCTCTGTTCCCAACTTTTGCATTCCAGTCACCCATTATTATTATTGCATCATGGTTGCTTGTTTGATTGATTTCTGACTGCAAAAATGGTAGAAATCTATTTGCTCCTCTTTGGCTCTGATTGCTGGTACATATGTTTGAATGATAGTGATATTCATTGGATTTCCTTGTATGTGTATGGATATTATCCTGTTGCTCACAACATTATATTTCAAGATGGATCAAGAAATGACCTTTTTAAATATGAAAGAGACCCTGTTTTTCATCACCTTTTCATCTCTGGTGTAGTACATCATATGATTGAGTCAAAATGTTCCATGCCAGTCCTTTCCATTTCTTTTTTCCCCCCTTTTTGTTTATTATTAATTTCAGTGAAAATTTACAGAGACTTTGGATTTTCATTCATTCATTGTTGCACTTTTCTCCCTGCCCACCCCTTCCCCCCAGTACACTCTCCCCTTGGAAAAGTAAAAGAAAAAGTCTTTCATTGTTTTACACTCTCCCCCCCGCCCCCACCCCAGGTCCACTCCACTATGCAGCCTTCGCTCTGGACTCCTGTCATGACAAAAATACCTAATCACATATTCCTTTTAAACAGTTTTCTCCCTCATCTGTTTCAATGCAGTATACATTATTGAACCCATCTTTCTCAGTCTTCCCCAAACCCTGATGTCAGTCCTGTTTTACAACAGCGGCACCATGCAGTATTTGTCCTTTTGTGACATTCCATTTCTTTCTTAACAGTGTCTCGTGTTTTTTTATATAAGGTAACTAGAACGCTTTTTACATTTACATTTTATTAAACATTCTTTGAAAATATTATTAGTGATTTAATTTACCAAATAATTATGATGTGCAAAACCTATGGGATAATGTTTGAGCCTTTCTTCTGGTGGCCTGTGGGTAAGGAGTTGCACTGCCAGCCCAAAGGCAAAGGGTTTGATTCCACCAGCTGCTTTGTAGACAAAAGAGGGACAGTCGGCTCCTGTACAACATCCAGCCTTTGAAAACCTTCTGGAGGGTCAGATATGAGTCAGTTCCATCCGTATAGCATTGAGATGAAGGGATAATGTTTGAACTTTTAGATAATATGTTAGAAATTTGTACTCTAATCATTTTGTTAAATTGCTGCTTACATTTTTTTTTTCATTTTACTTTGAAAGTGACGTTGGTCCTAATGTTTAACAAGCCAGCAGTTGTTGAAAACATTTTATCATGTTAATAGAATGTTAATTATATATTCTTTATAAAGTATTTTTATGAAAGTATTTAATAGCATGTTAATTATATATTCTCCGTATATGTTAAATAACATCATTGTGTTATCTGTTTGCTTATTTATTTGGAATCTAATGAATGTACTTTTCTGTTTGAACAGGTAAAGTGTATGCAGTAGGTGGACATGATGGAAATGAACATTTAGGTTCCATGGAGATGTTTGATCCACTGACCAATAAGTGGATGATGAAGGCATCTATGAACACAAAGAGGTAGATCAGTACAGAATTTTATTTTGATTTGATAGTGGAAAGTAAAGGAAAAAGTTTCTTAAAATTTAAAAACTTTAATTTTTACATTTTTAAAAACATTAAATAAATCTCTTCCTAAATATACTTTTAAATTTTTATTTATTAAATGAATGTTAAAACATCCAAGATGATAACTTTGTTAAAACTTTTTATGTTTGCTTAGGAATTAAAAATGAAGTCATGGCTTAGAACAGTATGATAGTTACCTTTTTCACTTGTATCTGAGCATTGATATTCTTTAACATTTTATTTTGAAACATTTATAGGTTTTTCAGGAAAGCTGCAAAAGTGTAACATTATCATATTAAGAAAACTATTCCTTGATTATGTTTTTTCTCTTGTATTTTTTAAGAAGGATTAATTAATGTTGACATTTTTATATGTACAATATTTATTTATATACTGATTAGTTGTTGTTTGTTGTTGTTGTTGTTATGTGCTGTCGAGTCGACTGCGACTCATAGCGACCCTATGTACAACAGCCCTGAACTCCGCTCTGTCCTGTGCCAGTCGCATTGCCTCTGACACTCCCATCCCAATTATCCCAGTCACTGAATCAACCCACTTCATAGAGGGCCTTCCTCTCCTGCGCTGTCCCTCCACCCTCCGAAGCATGATGTCCTTCTCTAAGGACCAATCTCTCCTCACAACGTGTCCAAAGTATGTTAGACGGAGCCTCAGAATCCTTGCCTCCAAGGAGCCACCCGGTTTAACCCTTTCCAGGACAAATCTGTTTGTTTCCCTAGCAGTCCATGGTATTCTCAATACTCTTCTCCAGCACCACAGCTCAAAGGCATCAATTCTCCTTCTATCCTCCTTGGTCATTGTCCAACTCTCTG